CGGTAAACGCCATCACCGCATGGGATTCACCGCAGGCCGCTTTCGCGCCCTTTCCTGGGCAGTTTACACAGGGATGCTATATAAATCCACCACCCTCACCACAGACACAGCACCCGATCTGAATCCACCTTTAGATATATAAGGTGTTAAAAACCAAATAATAGGGATGCATAATAGGGATATTGGGATTTTGGCCGATATCCGATATGCCGATATTTTAAAACTCATGTAGCCGATAACCGATATCGATGTTAAAGCTGGACAAAAATAAGTAGTCATTGAAAATAGCAGTTTTGTTATCCATTTCTGACACTTATATCAAATTGCACTTATATCAATTGCTGATATCAAATAGATTTTTAAAAACGCTGTATTGATCTATTTTACTTTCAAAATCTCGTGAAATTTCATCGTTCTGTTACAAACTCTCGTGATATTTTGCAAATTCTTGTGATATTTTGTTAGTAAAATAGATCGATAACGCGTCAATATATCAACATATAAAAATATGGCAAAATTTTGTGAATTTTCGGGGGATTTCGTAGCATAACGATGACATATAGCAATATTTCACTAGTAAAACAGATTGATATGGTGTTTTTAAATGGCAATATATCAGCATATGAAGATAATGTGATATTTTAATGTATCAATATTTTTTCCCTCATCTTTAGAAGTTTTTAAGTCTTTAAAAAATAAGTTTTTGAGGAAGAAGAAGAAGTAGTATATATCAGTGGCGGCCGGCCCATAGGGGGCGCTGGGGCACCGCCCTCCCTGATAAGAAGAGAGAAACGTAAAATATATTTTTAGAAATTAACTCATAAATGTCTGTTTTACTCTCTAGACTGTGTAACTATAAGCAAAACAAATTATATAAACTACATTTCCCTATCTACTGTCATTAATTTGTGGATTTCCACAGACAGACTCCTACCGTCTCTGTTCTGGGGGCTGTGATCAGACTGACCCACATTTGCAGAGAATCTGTCAATCATGTACTATTGCTAGGTGAATTTAATGGCCAATCAGCGTCTCGGAACTTTATGGTATTGGGGCGCTGAAAATACTGCGCTTTTACAGGCTTCTCTTCTGAACCCAAGCGCAGGTGCAGACAATTAGAGGGAAGATGGCGAATGTAACGAGCGAGATGCAGCTTCCACCAAATTCGGTGAGATCCTTATTTATCTACCCGTTTGCCAGAAGAACATCCCTGTTGTATGATATGAACATTTCATTTCATGGTTATTGTGACTGTGACGAATCCACCTCGTCGCTTAAAACAACCTCTCTAACTTTGCGCGCCACACACACATTCCTGTTATACTGTGTTTGTGAGGACCAATACACTCGCGCTGAGATCAGTAGCTCTATTAACTTAAAACACACAAGCTGTCCTGGTTACCTGCTGGCGTATTGAGGGTGCACACTTAATATTTCAGTGGGGTTAGCCGTGTGTGTGTGTGTGTGTGTGTGTGTGTGTGTGTGTGTGTGTGTGTGTGTGTGTGTGTGTGTGTGTGTGTATGTGGGGGGTGTGGGTGTGTACGTGTTTATGCGGGGACTTGTCATCTTCAGTCTGGCTGCGTCTTTGCTGGGTTCAAACCCAGTTTGGTGTAATTGAATAAGTCAATGAATCTGTGTAAAAGAATTAAGTTGTAAAAATTATTTGTTTTTGTACATCAATTGTTTGTGGAGGTAATATATGGACAAAACTGATTAATGAGAAGAAATCAGAAATAAGAGAGCCTGAGGTGAGGGGCTTAAACTATTTAATGAGGGCTGTGGGAAGAAAAGCGGCAATTTTTGTTTTCTGTTTCTTTGTTACATTGCTGGTAACTGGAGGGAGGCTGAGGCCCAGAGTATCTTGTATATGTTTAGTTTCTTTTGCACCCTGTTTTGAGTTTTTGAGCTCAATAAATCACCAACACCGGTAACCCGACTGAGACTGGATTCTTGGAGGCCAAAGAACCCCGTCACAGTGACCCAAATCATCACTGTTACTGTTATTATATAGTAAATTAAATCATTACTGTTAAATTGTATGTATTGTCCAATTGTTTATTTGAATTCTTATTCCGGGTTAGTTGGAGACATACACTAGGCTATATCAGCCCCACCAAAAATATTTTTCACCAGCCGCCACTGGTATATATATATATATTTTTTTTTAGACTTTAGAAACTCAGAAGCTGATCAAATATCGGATTAAATATCGGTGTGGTGGCCGATGTCCGATATTCAGTTTTAAGGCCGATACCGATAGGGGGCCGATTATATCGTGCATCCCTACCAAATAATGGTATGTTCTTTTGATGAAGATCCAATCTACGAGGAACAGCTTTAATTCACATAGAATTAAATATTTATCTGGAGTAAAAATGTCCTTTTATATTCAGAAAGTTATCTTTATGAGCGTTACTGTTTCACATCGCATACATGCATCCACTACCTTATCTTTCCTCACTTTTCATCAATATAGAGACTTCTTTAACAGATGTTTAACAGAACTTGGTATCAGTGAGAGCACATTGATGTGTGATAACAGTATTATAGAAAAGAACTACACAGTCAAACAGCCACTTAATATTTACTGAGTTTAAATGAGGAGGAACCCCATGAGATGATGCGCAGGTCCTTCCTGTTTGACCAGCGATTTATACTCCATCTTCACCTGCTGCCAGGTGATTTCACCCAAATAGAATACATTGATCTACTATCATTCAAGCAATAAACTAGTTTTCCCCTGTAATGTTATCTTGCTAATTACCCTCTATGGCAGGCCGTCCTGACATTTATTCATTTATTGTCTGAATATGTATTTCTGATATCTGAAATACATTTCTTCCTAGTCAAAATGAGTATTTAATACATCGAAAAGAACATTTTTCTGAAATAAACCTTCTGGATGTCTAAAAATGAATTTCAGATCTCTGTATACTATGTTATTGTTTATAATTCTAATTATATTAACTAGAAAGAAATGTATTTCCGATATCATAAATGCATATTCAGTCAAGCTGATAAATGTCAAAAAGACATCTTAAAATGTGTAAACATTTCAAGGTATATGAAACTTTATTCTTACAGTGAAATTTAGTTTTTTGACATTCTAAAATTCAGTTTCTGCTGACAGAACTGTAATTTAGAATATCTATTATAACAGTTCTGACTAGTAACGTGATTTTGATGGAACGGAACAACAGAGAGAAGAGCAATTTAAATACATTTCAAAACGGCCTGCCGTAACAGACTATATGCCCTGAACTGACATGGGGGCGGTGCCTGTGAGGGGGTAAGAGCAAATCAAACTATTTACTCTTAAATTAGATAAATACATTAAAATGTCCTTTAGATCATTACATGGCTGCAGTCAGTACAGTTATACATGCAGACAAAGAAGTATTGCTCAACAAGCGGAGGAAATTTAATTGATCAACTATTGCCATACTTTCTGTGCTGATTCTCAACATTCTGCCCTGGGTTGTTTAAGGCACTGTATTAAAAATAAATACGTAAAAGCTATTAATCATCAATGTTCCTTGATTTTTTATTTAATTTTTCTGAACAATATGGTTAATATGTAAACTTGTAAACTAATTGAACAAAGATACAGTTTTATTTCAAGTAAAACATAAATAATATGTTATGTATATATAGTTCTTAATAACTGAAATAGAAATTCTGATAAAAAAACAAAACATAGAGGGTCCAAAAAATATCCAGAATGAGGCTCTATATTATATTTAAGCCCCAAAAGTGAATGACTTTTTTCTACAAAAATACTAGGTGCCTGATGATCTTCATTTATCCTTCAGTTACTTTAAAAAAAGAGATTAAAGGCAAAAAATAAAAAGTTTATTTTTCATTCTACTTTCTTGTTTGATTTACACCGATTTGTTCAAAGTTAAATATCTTAGTAGATTGTGGTGATCAGCCATCGTCGGAGTGTTGAGTCTCTCTGGTGGTGAACAGGAGACACAGGGTCACAGCTTTCAGGTCATCCTGGGGCCGTTGCATGGAAACCATCAGGCTTTCTCTGATAGCCTCAAATACAAAGCAAATCGTCCTGCAGATGCAGCAGCTGGATCCGCTGCCACAGTCTGACGTTAAACAGGTTGCCGTGACCTCTGGTAGCTGCAATCTGGGGTGAGCTATGTCTTTCTTTACTGAAAGAGACTAAAAAGTTAGCTTCTGGCTGCACTACAAAGGAAACTTGGAGCATGTTGAGTCAGACCGGAGGTTTTTCTTCATAGACAAGTGAGAGGAAATCTCACAGCAAAGATTTTAAAATGCTTCATTTATTAGATACATAAGTTGCTTTCTTTGTAAAAGTTGATTGTTTATTACTTAAGATTCAGGTGCTTTTTTATTTAGAGAAAACTCAATTTCAGTTTCATATAAAGTATCTTGGATCCTTTAGCATTTCCATGCACTATTAATGATGCATGCAGATCATTAAAGACATTAATGCATCTCTATTGCGAATCACCTCTGAGTGCATCACAAACAGCTGCTGTCAAACTGCTGCCTTTCATGCAGCACCTCCTTGGATCAGACGTAATGTGAGCTCTGTAACCTGAAGAGGTGTGTGTGGGGGGAGTAGTGGCCATACACCAGGTATTGGTCAATGTTTGTGGGGGGAAAAGTCATGCTATCGGATTGCATTAAGACCAATTGTTTGGCTTCAGGTGATAGATACTGTTGGTTTAGTAAATAGTCAGTGTTTACCTAAGAGCTGAGTGTCCTGCTCTGATTTCAAAGTGCATTGCAATCCCATTTAATCTCCTGGAATACCAAAACAATCATCTTTGTATTCCCATACAGACAAATTAGGATTTTTTTTGCATGGGAAGCAACTTCCTCAGCTGGGAAGTAAGTCAGGGTCAGGGGTCAGGGAAATTTACCTGTTTATATCTAAACTGATTTTCTTCCAATGCCTTTTATAGTTAATGTACACACAGAAAACAACAATGAGGCCTCAATTGTGCATGTTTCTCCCGCAGCGGTGTCCAACCTGGATGTGGAGAGTAAGCTGACGGCACATTTCCGAGCTCCGTGGCGTCTCCAGAGGAATGTTTTGCTCCCCTCCACACGGCCAGCATGCGTAGAGGAGCTGCACAGGCAGGCCAACCACAGCCTGTGGTCGCTGAACCAAGGTGAGCCACAACTCCCTCCAGTCCAGATTTGAATACCCACCACACTCCCATTTCTTTGCATGTTGGCACTATTATTGATGGTAATTGTATGCCATTGCTCATTTCAGGTTTAATACAATTCAATTCAATTATGTTTATTTATATAGTGCCAATTCAAAACACATGTCATATCAAGGCGCTTTACAGTTCACTTTAAAGCTCACTTTACAGTTATATGTCATCTTTAATTATTAACTGATGTGCAGCTAATTCATGCACATTTAACGTTTCATGTCAACTCTTTTCCGTTGATGGCGCTGTGGGAGACGGCTGCCTCTCCAGTAGCTCTCCAGTTCTTAAACTTTTTTTAACCTTTTTAACCTATTTAACCCCTTTTTCTTCTACTGTTTTTTACACTACATAACTGTTAATTTAAGTCATTGTTTTTGCTATAGCCCTCTGTATTTATTTGTCTATCCTTATCCCCCAATACATCTTCCTACACCTTATTTAATTGATTCTATTTTTTCTATTGTATATACTGTGTCTAAACATCCTCTTTTTTCTTGTATGTGCAATTTTTCCTGCTACTGGAAACACAATTTCCCGAAGGGAGTAATCCCAAGGGATTAATAAAGTCAAGTCTAAGTCTCTAAGTCTAACTCCTTTTTTTCAGCTAATTTCTTGCATATTTTAATTTAAATGCTTATTGTTTTGTTTTTTGTTTTTTTTGCTATAAGTGTATTTTACTCCACATTATCAACTCTTGTGTTTGACTTTAATTTGAGGCTAAACTTTGGTAAAAATCTCTTTTCTCAAACAATCTAGTTTTCAAGCATCTATGATTCTAGTGTTATTCTGCCCTCTAGTGGACATTGCGCTCCAGTGCACCCTAAGAGATTTTGCCAGAAATTATACCTCCTCCTTTTTTTCATGTGGGTTTTTTGTGCCTTGCCTTTAAAATGTGGGTGTTTTCAGATCACCCGAGGAGGGAGCACAGAGGAAACATCTCAGCGCTGCCCCCGATGCCCATGTACCCCTCCCCTCTCATCGAGCCAAAACAAGACCATCGGGGCAAAGGTGTAACTACGGTGAGACTACCAATTATATTTTAAATATTATCACTTTAGGTTTTGAAAGGTTAGTCTGCATGAACAAAAATCAGCACATGAATTTGTTGTATTGGAAATCCTGCTAGTCGATATATATATATATATATATATATATATATATATATATATATATATATATATATATATATATATATATATATATATATATATATATATATATATATATATATATATATATATATATATATATATATCTAAACACTCAAGGTATTACATTTTAGCCTTTGGGCCATAAAAACATCTTCCTGGTAAAGATGTAGCTCTTTCTTTGCACTCTGAGTGTCATGACCTCTAAGTTCACATTAGTCGCATTAAGATTTAGAGAGCTGGACCAACCAACAGAAAGTAGTACGTAACTGAATCAGCAAAGCACATTGTGTAAATAGAAAGTTAATTAGAAAGCGGCCCATGGTTACTCTGGATGAGCTCTAGAGTTCCATAGCTCTGATGTTGACAGACAAGAGTCCCAGACTTGTTTTCTTGCATGGGAAAAAAACATGGCCCACTGCAAAACATTGCGGAAGCAACACCATGAACTGGGAATAAGCTCCCTCAGCAGGAGACAGTAAAGCTGCTCAGAGTGGAAGGAAAGCTGCAAACGGCTAGAAACTAAAGAACCCTGACAAAAACTAAAAACAACAGAGGGGCAATAGATTTGACTAAAGACTACCCTGGAGGCTGGAGGTTCACCTTCTGAAAAAAATACAAACTCTGAGCCACAATAAAAGGATTTCAATCAAACATTAACTCAATTATATTATTAACTAAATATTAAATTCAGTTTATTTATATAGCACCAATTCACAACATGTCATCTCTAGGCGCGTTATGATTCAACCAGATCATACAGTCAGATTGATTCAAAGTTGATCGCATTGATTCATTGACTCTTCAGCAATCCTTCACACCAAGCATGCTTGTAGCGACAGTGGAGAGGAAAAACTCAATTTTAACAGGAAAAAACCTCCAACAGAACCAGACTCAGTGTGAGCGGCCATCTGCTGAGGCAGACGGGGGTTCAAGGAGATAAAAGTAGACAATTTAATGCTCTAGAATGGCAATTTACTATAGAAGTGCAAATTTAAAGAACATAATCTGATTGGCTCTCAGCTATAAATGCAGCAAAAATTGGTCTTGCAGTTTTGACTCATAAGCTCTTATTACAAACACAGGTTGCACTTTTTACAACTCATATATAAAAAAAAGAACGTTGTATTTTCTATTGTTGTAATAATAGTTACTGCATCTAAACCAAATAAAATATTGAGTCACTACATAAAGAGTTACTAATGAGTTACATAAATTACAGTTATAACTGAGCAAGCATGCCCCACTGGCATATATACGGTGGCTCTGAAGGGCAAACTGCAACTACAAATCTAAAAGCGTCACTACATTAAGAAAAACAAAACTACATAAAGCAATGCGCAACTACATTAAGAAAAACAAAACTACATTAACCTACCGGAAAAGGTAGGTACCAAACGGAAATATGAGACATCGCTCATTGGACGACAGCGCCGTTTGACCCTTGAACCGGAAGTCATTCTGCCTGCTGCGGCTTTTGAAAACATGGATACTGTCGGCGCCCCAAACATAGCTGCCGTTATCCAGGAATATTTTGAATCAGGACATAAGTACGAGGTGATACTGGATATGCTCAAGACTAATCACGAAATTTCAGTCAGTATCCATGTTTTCAAAAGCCGCAGCAGGCAGAATGAGTTCCGGTTCAAGGGTCAAACGGCGCCGTCGTCCAATCAGCGATGTCTCATGTTTCCCACTGGTACCTACCTTTTCCGGTAGGTTAATGTAATTGTGTTTTCCTTAATGTAGTTGCGCTTTGCTTTATGTAGTTTTGTTTTTCTTAATGTAGTTGCGCTTTGCTTTATGTAGTTTTGTTTTTCTTAATGTAGTTGCGCTTTGCTTTATGTAGTTTTGTTTTTCTTAATGTAGTTGCGCTTTTAGATTTGTAGTTGCAGTTTGCACTTCAGGGCCACCGTACATATAAGCTAGTATGTTGATATTCCTCTGTCTGGAAGCAGGATTGTTGGTTTAAATGTGACTTTAGCATTTTTTAAATATCGCTCCTTTAAAGTGACAATGCAGTTTTGTTTTTCCCTCTCAAAGCTGCCAGAGAGACAATTTAGAGATGCAGCCACTCAGTTAACACAAACACAGGTAAAGATGAAAGCAGACTGTGTATCATGTGTTTGTGCAGGGAATGGATGGCTGCAGATTTGTTTTCATCAGTGCATCCAAGGTTTCTGTTCCATCCACACCAAGCCTTACCCCCCCCCATATTTATTTACCTTGTGTCAGCACTGTGTTCATGCTTGATATTTTCCCCTTCACTGTGTCATTTTTGTTTCTATGTATTTTTTATTTGTTGTTTTCTTCACTGTGTAATTCAGTTCGACAAAACCCGCTCCTCTTCCCCCACCGAATGTTGCCGCCTCTCTCCCTGGAGCAGAAAGGTACCGGTCCTCCCCTTCCTCCTGGCTCCTGACTCCTTCCTCTAACACTTTTTCTCCACCTGACCTTCTTTTGTTTGCCTCTGTTTGATTTACATAATGAATTTCTTTTTGGATGCATGTCCTTTCTGCGTTTTCTGGCATTCTTAGTATCCTCCCCCTCCTCCCTGTGGGGATAATGAGGTCATAAGAAAAGGAGACTTTTATGTTAAGTTTCATCAAACTGGCTTTTGCTGTTCCTGTGAAGTTTTAGGTTGAAGTATGTGAGGAATGTGTGTGCGGACCACATTTACAGTCACCCTGCTCTAATGAGAGGGTTGACTTTTGGGAGCTTGTGTCTGTGATTACCCATGGTCCTCCTGTGCTGCGGTCTCCTCACTGCACCAGCTGACAACCTTTGAGCTGTTTGTTTTACCAAAACTGGTAGATTCTGGTGGATAGAGACAAACCAGTGCAATTTCTTTTGATTTCCTATTCTGTTTCCTCCCATGTCCACTCTCTTCCTCTTCCCCCCCTCCTAACGATGCTTGTCCTTCCTCTCAGACCCTCCTCGAAACAAATCAGCTGTAAACGGTCCCCCTTTGATTTTTTTTTTCCACTCATTGCTAGAAGTTACCAAGGAAACCAGTTCCTTTTGTGGGCCAGGGTTTTGTCAGGGTCCCATTGGTCTGCTGGGAACTGGGAGCACAAAGGCTGCAGAGCTGGTGTTAAATGGGGGTGGGAAGACTTTAAGTTGCAGAGGTGGGAACCAGTTCAGCCTGATTATCACTCCCAGTTTCACATGTGTCTCCCTGTTAGAAACTCAAGGTAAGGCACTGAAATCCTCATTCAGAAGGTAGTCATAGGTCTGAAGAGGTCCGAGGAGTTTGGAGCACATGCAGTGACGGATACTGAAGCTCAGAGGAATATTGCCGTAAAGTTTTTCCTGACTCATATTTCTGGAGGCTCGTTTAAATGTCAGGACTTCGTAGATCCGCTGCGGATTCTCACAGCATGACCTAAGTTTCCCAAGGCTACATGTTGTCTTAAGCATGGATCTTGTAGACGGTATTGTGACATCTGTTGGAGTGTGAGCCAATGTTTTTATTGGTCCAAAGTACTTTCTGCAAGCTTGAACACCTTCTTTTTCCTTTTGCATGAAAGTCTGTTAATTTCTCCAAATGCTTCTGTGCTTTTTGCTCTCACTTGCTTTGACGCATGCTTTTCATTTCCATTGCACTGCTGTATGAAACTCAGCTGCTAGAAGGGGAGGTGTATTCATTCATCATCTCAGAGACAGAAATCACTTTGCAGAATAATGTGAAAAAAATTCCAGCTTCATCGCGTTTTCCAGATAAACTCATAGGTTAGTGGTTCTCAAACTTTTCCAGCAGGCTCAGTAACAGTAGCAGAACAACAGAACGTGAAAAATATGTTCTTCTGAATTGGCAGGTTGATTATCTGATATTTTTGGTCGGAATTTTGTTTCTCCTTGTTTAAATTTTGAGTTAGCGGGTTGAACCGAACAAACTTGCAGTTAAATCAGAGGCTTCTCACCAACCACAATGTAAAAATGTTTACCTGGTTATCAAATGCCAGTTAAATATATACTATATTTAACAACTTTCTTTCTTTACTACATCTAAAGTAAAAGGTAGCCAATATGTTATTGGAAAAAGTATAGTTTTATTAGCTAGTACCTATTCCAATTAATAAAGATATCAATTAAGAAATCGGACACTTTTTTGAACTTGGATGAGAAATCTGGTATTTATCTTTGTACTGGGATCCCTCATAACTAATTCTCTTTGCTCCTCTCCTTTGAGAAAACTTTGCAAGTCAAAAATAGATCCAAAAGTGTAAAAAAAAACAAAAACTTAAGGCATCTTTTGTTTGTTAGATTCTTCAAAACAACCTGTTTTCTTTTATGGTGTCTTTAATGACCTTCATCGGTGATTCATGTGAGATGATTTTCTCAATCTTGATTGAGCTCCCAGAGGTAGTAATAGAAATAAAGAAAAACAATTAAATGAGGACGTGTGTCAAAAACCTTTAATTTAGTTTATATATTGCAAATAATTGATACTGCCACTAAGGCAGCCCAATTAACACTATATATGAACCAGTTGGAGAACCATAAACTGAGAAAGTCTCTAAATTTATCCACTTTATGCTACACATTACCCTATCTGAAGCTGAGTTTTATTTTCTCTTTAACTCCCTTCTTTCCATGTAATCCCACCATAACAGTCTAACCATGCAAATATCCATCTGTTGCAGGCTGCGCCTACTGACCCCGACACTGACGGGGTGGCTCTAGGTCACCGGTCAAAGTTTCCCATCCCTAACACCCCCTCCACCCTGGACAAGCAGACTAACTGGTCTAAAGCTCTGCCGCTGCCCACCCCAGAGGAGAGAATGAAATGCAGCACCCAAGTCATCGCCTCAAGCATCATTCCTATTAATGTGACCGGTAAATTGGATTCATCAAATGTTTTCGTTTCCATCTGTTACTGTAGGTAAAGGCAGAGCACTGGAACCTATCTTCAAGAAAACCTAAAGCATTTTTTATGAGTTATGCTTAAGGATATTAAAACACATTTTAAAATATAAAAAAGAAATCTTAGATAAAAGTGACTGCAGAAAGCTGGAGAAGCTGCAGAGAAGCCATTGTTTTTAAGTAAACTTTATGAATTGCAGTTCAATTTCCTGATTTCCTGCAGCTACATTATAAGGTGCAACCAAGCAACTGAAAATAGAAGGCCTAATGTTATTTTTGTGCACCTAGAAAAGAGAAAACATGGGTTATTTGATTAATTATCATAATATTTACCAATATTTGGTTTAAAAAAAACAAAAGGTTACATTCTTTAAAAAAAAAAGATATAAACCTTAGTTTATTTTTGCTTGCTTTTCTAAATGTTGTTTAAGCATACTGAAAGGTTCTAGAAAAGCTACACTGGAAAAACGATCCAGAAATAAGTAAAGATTTCCTAAATAAAGTGTATTTACCCTTAATTTGAGTAGGTAAATGAGATGATTTGCCAACGTAATGAGTATTTTTAATCTTAAAATAAGATATTTAGATAAAATGTACTTGAAATAAGACAATGCAATTCTTATTTTAAATGTAAATCGTCTTGTTTGTTCTTATGGCAAAATGTCTCTTACCTTATCAATTTTAAGTAATTTCCCTCTATGATTATTAAAGTATTTCTGATTGTGATTCTCAATTTAAGAACAAATGCACCTATTTTAAGAAAAAATGACTTATCTAGATTTAGATTTTTTTCCAGTGTAGAGGTAAAATTTCCAGAATTTTCCAACTTCAGATCTTAATGCTAGTTTTAGGTTAAGTTAGCCTTCTTAACCATGTTGTTTCTCTAACGAAGTTAACTTAGTATACAAATGTTTTATCTACCATATTACCCTGTGGCAAAAAATTAAAAAAGGATTAAAAAAAAAACATTTTTTCTGATCAAATTCAAAACACAAATGAGTTCTGAAATTGACCAAAGATTAGCAGAGTATTATAGAGGAGCTAGCTGAAATAGCCACACTACGCTAAAGTTAAAAAGTGCCCTTTAGAACGTCGTCTTTTAGATGAAATTGGTCATAATCTTGTCATATCACTCAAAAAAATAAGTAGAATTTAAAACTTGAAAATATCACATAAAGCACTTCTAGTTATGCTATAAGAGATGAAGCTAACCTATAAAATGTCACATAATTTGTCAATATATGACTACTTTTCTCCCATTAAGATAAAGATTTTAAGTTATTTTTCATTAAATCAAAAAAAAAAAACTCATTTTAAAACAAACGTTTTATTCTTGGTAGCAGAATGTGCCTTTACAGGCAGTAATTTTAAACGTCCGAGTCATGCTTTCTTCTGGGTGAACCCTGTTTCCCAAGCTTTGACACTTTTTTGAATTGTGAAGAGGCCCAGCGCTGTGACATGAATGGCAATTAGTTTTGTTCAAGTGGTTAAAAAGATCTGCTTGATGTTATTTACTCTCGCTCTCACTGACTGAAAAGGGGAGCTGTGTGGAGACATGGGCAGAATCGGAGACAGTTGAGGGTAAAAAAATGCACATTGTAAGCAGAGTTCTGCAATTGCTATGGTGCTGAAAGACCCAACTTGTTGTCACATGATGGTCATAATGGGATAGAAGGGCAGCAGGAAGATTAGCTGGTAAACTTAAGCAGAAGTTTTCAGCAAATGCATTTACTAATGTGCATTGCTTTTTTCTTCATTTTAAATGTTTTATTTTACCATTTTATTTTCATACCTATCATAATGTTATAGCTCTAAAGTAAATAGCCAAAAACTCTTATTCTGAGTCTAAGCAGCTACTGTGGTTTTATGTCCTTTCAGATCTCTTGAAAGTCTCTGCTATTTTTGTACAGCACCGTATTTATTTCAGTCATTCTCTATATTTATTTAAATGTTGTCGTTTTATGTGACAGCATGAGAGTTAGAAAGGATTCTTTGCATTTGCAAACCCAACAAAGATTCCTCAGATGTCCTGTCTCCGCTGCAGGGGTTGGCTTTGACAGAGATGCTAGTGTGCGCTGCTCACTCGTTCACTCCCAGTCTTTGCTTCAGAGGAGACGGAAGCTGAGGAGACGGAGGACAGTCGCCGGTGTTCCCAGACAGGTGCAGGATTTTGGTAAGTATCTTATTTAACTCTACCGCTATAAATCTAATACATGTCAAGTTGTGTTATTTGAGGCATCTAGCATCTTTCTTTACCCCATGGACTATATTTTCACTTTACAACTAGGACCTTCATATATTTTATTCAATTTTTTGGTGATAGCTCAGTTGTGTGAATTTAAAGCCTATGTTAAGTTTTTATGTTTTACAGATCTTTACAAAAAAGCACAAATATCTTAAAATATGGATTTTTTTGTTTTTTATTCAGTCCTCCTAAGTAAAAAGTTCTCAGATACTTCTTTGGTTGAAATTTCTGGAATGGCTGGAAATTTTTACCAGCTTTGTCTTCCTGAAAGCTTGAGTTTCTGGTTCTACAGCTTCTATTAGGTTTTTCCACTATCCTCCCATTAACTCTCACCAGCTCCATCCAATCTAAAGATTTCATCCCCACATCATGATTCTGTCACCACCATGTTTTGCTGGGGGGATGCTCTTTTCTATAAACAGGACCTGTAACTGTCCTCTATTGTCCTGTTCTGCATTGCATTGCATTGCATTGCATAGAATAGAATAGAATAGAATAGAATAGAATAGAATAGAATAGAATAGAATAGAATAGAATAGAATAGAATAGAATAGAATAGAAAATCCCTTTATTGTCCCACAATGGGGAAATTCTGGTGTTTACAGCAGCAATTATAGAAAAAATTGTCACAAATATGGACCTTAGAAAAATGTATAGGAATAACATAAGTTAAAAGATGAACAATAAAATACTGTTCTGTAAAGTGTTTTAACAAAAATAAAAACTTTCAACCTGTAGAATAGATAACCAATAAACAGCTATGCACATTTTTCCAGTAACGGATATTTGAAAATAGCAGCAACACTGCAAAAAATGGAAATCTAAATTATTTATTTTTTATTAAATTAAGTGCATTTTTTATTAAATTGAGGAGATAAGTGACACACTTTGCCAATAGAACAAGACCATTTACATTTAAAATAAAAAAAAAACAGCTTTGTCTTATTTCAAGTGCATATTACCTAATTATCTTTTTTTAGGCGGAAAAATACTAATTCCATTGGCAAATAATGTTATTTATCAGCTAAAATTACGCGTAAAAACACCTAATTTAAGAATTTTTAAGACTTAAATCTAGATGGTTTTTGCAGTGAACATCAGAGATGTGAAAATGACAGGTTTTGATCTGGTCACATAATCATTATCTTAAGACACTTTACAAATTTTAACACATACATTTGAATTTTTTCCGACTTGTACAGTTGTGTTCGAAATAATAGCAGTGCCTCAACAGCAGCAAGAAAATCACTTGTTTTATTAACATTTCAAACTCTATACCCCAGATAAGTTTCTGGGGGGTAAAATAAAGGTATAGAAAACCAACAAACCCAACAGGACAGCCATGCATACTGTGGATTCTGTGAAATTGAATGATTAACTGAAAAGGGTGTGTTCAAAAAAATAGCAGTGGTGAGTTCAATTAGAGAGGGCATCAATTAGGGAGGGTATTCTGGGAAAAAAGGGTGTTAACAGGTGATCCGTATTTAAGGATCAAGACAACTGGCATGCTGGCTGTGCATTTGTCCTGAAAAAACAAGGAAAATGGGTCGTTCAAGACACTGTTCTGAAGATGAGCGTTTCCTAATAAAAAAATTGATTAAAGAAGGGAAAACATACAAAGAGGTGCAGAAAATCATTGGCTGTTCAGCTAAAATGATCTCAAATGCCCTGAAATGGGAGCAAAAAACTGAAAAACGAGGAAGAAAAAGAAAGACAACCCCTCGAATGGACAGAAGAATAGCCAAACTGGCGAAGACTCAGCCAATGATGGGATCCAAGAGGATCAAGCAAGACCTTCAGTTGACAGTGAGTACTGTGACAATCAGAAGACGTCTTACTGAGGTTAACCTTCCAGCAAGAAGCCCCCGCAAAGTCCCACTGCTGAGAAAAAGACATGTGCAGAAGCGTTTACAATTTGCCAAAGAGCACATTGACTGGCCTGAAAAGAAATGGCATAATATCTTGTGGACAGATGAAAGCAAGATTGTTCTTTTTGGGTCTAAGGGTCACAGGCAGTATGTCAGACGCCCTGCAAACACAGAATTCAAGCCACAGTACTCACTGAAGACCATTAAGCATGGTTGTGCAAGCATCAGGATATGGGGATGTTTTTCATACTATGGTGTTGGTCCGATTCACCGCATACAAGGGATCATGGATCAGTTCCAGTACATCAGGATCCTGGAAGAGGTCATGCTGCCATATGCTGAGGAGGAAATGCCTTTGAGGTGGACCTTTCAACAGGATAATGACCCCAAACACACCAGCAAGCGAGCAAAAGCATGGTTCCAGATGAACAAGATTCAACTGATGGAGTGGCCAGCACAATCCCCGGACCTTAATCCCATTGAAAACTTGTGGGCTGTCATAAAAAGTGCAGTGCATGAGGCAAAACCAAGAAACGCTGAGGAATTGTGGAATACAGTGCAATTATCCTGGGCTGCAATACCTGTGGAACGATGCCAGAAGTTGGTTGACTCCATGCACCACAGATGTGAAGCAGTCATCAGAAACCGTGGTTTTGCAACAAAATATTAGTTTAGGATACTCAGCTAGGTTCACTTATCAAGAATTTCTTTGTTTGTACAGTACATTTTTGAGTTTCCAAGGAAAGATGGCAACACTGCTATTCTTTTGAACATGCCATTTCTTACTTTATTTGAAATATTATTATTATTATTTAAGTTTTGATGACTTTGCGCAATTGTTTTGCTTTGGAATAGAATGTACTGTGTCCCCAATGTATCTGTGTTCATTAAAGTACAATTTCTTTGAAGAATTTTGACATTTACTCATTTTTCTAAAGGCACTGCTATTATTTCGAACACAACTGTATAAAAAGGACAGTCAATTACAAACCGTGTATCCTCCCCCTTTACTTTACACTATTAATAGACTGTTAGACTGTTGAACCTTTGATCCACAATCCGAACTCTGCACCTATTGCACATTATCGGGCATCAAATGCTGCTGAACTTTTAACTTTTAGCCCTTTAAATTGTTCATCTCATTGTATTTTTCAATAACGCATTTTTTGCACAAATGCCATTTTGCACTGAACCACTGCAACTTGCACACTGTCTCTTATCCTCTGCACTGTTCACACTTTGACCACTGCTGCACTTTTTGTATTTTTCTATAACTCGTGCCATTGTGAAATATCAATGCAACGTTCATAAGCTGTATGTAACGCAATTTCGTTCTGTATGCACCCTGTGCATACAAAATGACAAATAAAGAAGTCTAAGTCTAATAAACTTTGTTGTCGTCTATCAAAAAAACATTTTGGAATATATGGATGTTTTAAATCTAACTCTCTAAAACAAGTACATGTACCTAACATAAAACTCAAGTCGTCTATGGCATTCTTTAACACACACCTTTTATTTAATATATTTATTTTAAGTTAAAAACAAATTAAAGATGTTCTGAAATGAGATAGATTGTTTCTGTAACTCTCTTACTTAAATTGTCCTCCTTTCCTCCCCAGACTCTGATGACTCCCCTGGCTCCAGGGAGCGTACAGTTATTGTTCACACCACTGCTGATATAACTCCTTCTACTGCACAGCTGTCCAGTCATCTGACCACCAGAGATTCAGGTTGCCAGACTGAAGACTTCCTTTCCTCGGGAGCGCCGTCTCGAAGGAGGATCAGGGTCCAAAGAGGTCAGGGAGCATCACTCCTGCTGTCCTACTCAGCAGGCAACATCTCCTGCCTGCCTGACAGCCCTGAAGCCATGTTTTCTGGCTCCGTGGGAGACCGACTGCGGTCGCGGAGTCTGCCCAGAGAAAGCAGCAGGATGAGGATGATGATGATGGACAATGAGCATAATGACAGCGATGAGGAAGAGGAGCTGGCCCCGTTTAACTCCGAGGCGTTCCTTCCTGGACACGGTGAGATGGTTCTAAAGGAGGAGGAAGAGGGCACGGATGACCAGGCTGTGTCCCAGCGTCAGCTGGGAGGATTGAAGTACACGCAGCTGTCGGACAGTCCGGAGTGCAGCTGGATGGAGCGCGCCAGAGCTCAGCTGCCCAGGAAAGCTGACATGGGCAGCTGTGAGATCTCATCCAGCTCGGACACCTTCAGCAGCCCTGTTCACTGCGTCTCAGCTGCAGGCGTTCTGGGAAGCCAGATGGACCATAAGGACGACCACCAATCGTCCAGTGGGAACTGGAGCGGGAGCAGCTCCACCTGCCCCTCCCAGACCTCAGAAACAATCCCCCCTGCTGCCTCCCCTCCCCTGACTGGCTCCTCGCACTGTGACTCTGAATTGTCCCTTAATGCTGCCCCTCATGCTGCAGAAGACCAGACCAGCTTCATGCTGGACAGCTACCAGGGCCTCAGAACCCATCGAGCAGGCTCGTTCTCCTCAGCAGCTATGGATATATTAGAGGAGGTAGGCGTGAGTACACCAGTGGAAGAGGAGTGGGATTACCAGAATGCAGAACCCTCTCGCTCTCAGGATTTTAGCCCTGAACCAGGCAGGGAGGCGGATAGCAGCCTGGGCTGCCCCAGCTTCACCAGCATGGCCACCTGCGAGAGCAGCTTCTCTGACAAACCTCCATCAGAGAAATTAGATACCGTCTCTTACTACTCTGTGGACACTGAGGGCTACTACACCTCCATGCACTTTGACTGCGGTCTAAAAGGCAGCAAAAGCTTCACCTACAGCTGTGCTCCCACCGGTTCAGAC